TCTCTCTCTCAAAACTCTCTCAACATATACACTCTCTTCACTCACTCAGCACATAAACAGCGGAAAATTCACTGGGGATTGCCTAGGATGTGGTGAATGCTTTATCGTCAGTCTGAGCGAAACCCATTCGTTGGGGCTAAAATGAAGACGCCCGTGGGCTGAAACTGTCCTCCAGAAGTTAACTGTGCTGGTTATTATTCAATTCTGGTTTCACAAATGACTATTTTTTGAAATTATTTCTGGCAACACAAAAGTTTTAAAACATTTTTGACGTTTGATATTGATTCATTTTTAAACATTTTACATACTTGTGAAAATTTAATCAAGTTACAAAAATTAATGCTACTCTCTCGGGGGGGATTTTACGTCCCTTAAAAAAAATTAATTACAGCCCTTAAAAAATAACAATTAATATTATAATATTACTATAAATATTTTTAATATTTCCATCCAGCAATTTTAAATAGTTCATAAAGTATTATGCCATACAATATTATATTTATTATATCTATGGTAATATTTTAATTTTTGGAGAAATTTAATCGTCTTTATTTTTTAAAAGAAACTAGTATTTACAGTCGAACTTCATTAACACGAACGTTGATATCGCGAATTTTTCGTACATCGATGTCATTTTTACCTTCTAGTCCTTACGAAGATACATTGTAAGAAGAGAAAGTTATGTAATCGTATGCCGAAAAACGGCGAATTTTCGACAGAAAAACTCTTATTAGTCGGGCCCTGATAACACAAAAGCGGATAAATCCAATTGCTTAATATAGAAAAAAAAGTGTTCTAACACATGGTGTAGCCAGAATCCATGTTTTGGTGTCTTTCTTACCGAAAAATCGATTGACGTCCGAAGGTCTGTCCGTCTGCCTGTGGTCAAGCACCGCCTAAACCGTTCAGCCGATTTTCTTCAAAATTGATATTCCCCGACCGATCTGAACGAACTCGAGGCTTTAGAAGTTTCAAAGGGATATTTTGATTTAGAGGTATTTTATATGAATCCTCAAAACCATTTTCAATATTTTCTAAAAATGCCACCAACTTTGTTCTCGGAAAGTTAAAAGAACACTTCAGAGAATGGTGTGTTGAAATAATGTTCTTTAAAATCCCAAATTTTTTGAAAATTTCGAAAGTTGTTTGGGCGTCATCATTGAACAATAACATTGAAGATTTAGATTTTTATTCAGAGTGCAAGACAGATCATCAAATACGTTCATATTGAATTAATCTAGAATATGAGTATTTTTAGTGTCATTTTGTGTGAAATTTAGGCAAGTTAAAGTATTTTGAAATATGTTGCTGATCTAATTCTGAATCAATGTTACACTTCTTTTGTACAGATACAAGCCTGAAGGATGGTTTGTTTCACGAGTACAAGAAACATGGAAAGGTCGTTTCTGTAAAAGTTGTGGGGCAAGGTGGTGAGCGGTACGCCATCGTGTGCTTTAAGAAAGCTGATGATGCGGAAAAAGCTTTGGAGGAGTCACAAGATAAACTCTTCTTTGGCTGCAAGATATCAGTGGCACCCTACCAGGGTTATGATGTGGATGATAATGAGTTTAGGTGAGTCCTGAACACTATTGATTTCGTTTAAAAGTCATTCAATGCTTTGTTAACATCAATTATTACTTTTGCACATGTGTTTCAATGAATGTTTCTTCTTTTGAGCGTTGATAATACGTCATTTGCATTTCTAATTATTTATTGCTACATGTGGTAGAAAAATATGACTGACAATTTGTCTGCATTGACTATTACAGGCCATATGAAGCAGAACAAGATGAATACCATCCAAAAGCAACACGTACATTGTTCATCGGTAACCTAGAAAAAGATATTACTGGGACGGAATTACGGAAACATTTTGAGCAATTTGGCGACATAATTGTGAGTCTTTGGTGATAATTATAAGAAATTTGGATTTATATGGACTTTTTTTAGTATAATTGTGTTATGATTTAATTGCAACACACATGATTTTTTAAAGTATATGCAAAATTGTGCTAATGATGTTTTCAGGAAATTGACATTAAGAAGCAGGGAGCCATGTCATCATATGCGTTCTGCCAGTTCAGTGATATTGCCAGTGTTGTGAAAGCCATGCGGGCAATGGATGGAGAACATTTAGGTGCCAACCGAATCAAACTAGGTTTTGGGAAGTCAATGCCTACCAATTGTGTTTGGGTGGATGGCATCCATGGTGCGTATTTGTTTGGAATGTATTGTATTTGTTTGGTTTGACTGTATGCCTGTGTGATTGTCATAACTAATTTATATATCCTTTATCTTTGGCCATTCTCGTGTAGTGTATCTTCTGTGAACTGTGTCTTTCTTTTAATTAAATTTACTTTAATTCAATGATGCAAAACATTAAAAAAATTTACAACTTGTTTTATGTGATTAAATTACACATGTTTTGAGCATTGTATATGAGATCACTTGTTTTGTTTTGTTTGTTATTGTTTGCATCAGAATAAGAAAACATTGAGTCACATAATTTATCAGTATTTTACTTTTATGTATTGTAGATTATTTAAATCATGTAGTGAGCAAACTAAAATACCATAAAATGTGTTTTTGGAAATGAACATAAGTTGTTGACAAAGTGATATTTGATTTTGCAGAAACTGTATCTGAGAAGTACCTGAACATCCAGTTCACCCAGTTTGGTGCCACCTCGCAAGTGGTGGTGGCCCGTGATAGAGGCCAAGCGCTTGTGTATTTTGAGCAGTTGGCCTGTGCACAGGAGGCTGTGCATGAGATGCGTGGTTTCGTACTCAGGGGTCGTAAGCTGCAGGTGGACTTTGCATCGAGGGAGTGTCAGGAAGCATTCTATGAGCACCTCGAAAAGCAAGGCCATGTAGCAGCTGTCGGAGAACGTCCCTGGGAGCGCTACGATTCCAAGTGAGTTCTATTATTTATTTACCTGTTTTTACTTTAATGTAATTGTGAGTAAAATAGGCATGCACTCTATGAAATCTGCACAAAAAAACAAAAGTGGATAAATAAAAAGAAATTGTGGAATTTAATGTACATATCTGCTGATGCTAACATATTTTTCTATTTCAAAAATGTCATTATCAATTTTTTTATTATCCTGGATCACAAGGATTGCTTTGAGCTGGGATGTAGATTTGCCCAACTATTATTTTTATTTCTTTCATTGATTCTCAAAAATTCATGATTTATTTTAAACAAATAGATTGTGAATGATGATTTCTTCAATAACCTTATTATTCTTTAAGCTGAGTTTATTTGAAGCTTCTCATACATTCATTTTTGCTGGTGAGGTTTGTAGTTATGCCAACAAACCAAGCTGTGGTCACAGATTGTGCAAACCTTCTCTCAAGCTTCATAACTGTCTGAAGATGCACTGCCACATACGATTGAGATTTGTTGGTTGAGCTGCAAACCACATGTGGCCAGTGTGAGGATAGAAGTTAGCATGCGAGAAGGTATGTGCTGTTGAAGCACCACTGCTGTTATATGTGTGTGATATATTAGAGGGGGACATCTTGATAGTCTGAATCTTGAAAATCGAATCGAATTGTCTTCTCCATCTCCATATTAAAAGAATGGAAAATAACAGATAAGCTAAAAAAATCCAACTCACTGCCCTGAGGAAGCCTGCGACATGTCAGGCGAATCGTCGGCACCCCAGCCAACGACGCGGCGTCTCCCGGATAGCCGGGAATTCATTGGCAGTACTTGGAGTTCCCTTTAAGTCATAGGGAATAAGCGTGCATATGTAAACATATCTGTGATAATGTTTTTAAAAATGTGGATATTTAAATGGAGCAAGGGGTGTGAAAATGGGAAAGTAGGAAAATTATTTTATCCCATAAAAGTATTCCTCCCATCCGCTGTAGTCTTCGGAATAATAATCATAACTAAGTTTTAAATATTAAGATATAACACATTATAACAAAAAGTATAAGTTTTCACATAAATATTATTAATTACAGTGTACATAAACAAAAAAATAAAACTAATCAAGAATTTAATAGGGTCACTATCTGAAAAAAACTTCTAATACAATTATTTTAATGCAAATTGAAATTTCCCACTTGAAATGTTGAATTTTTGTTATTAGGCGGATTTACATCCCTGTATTAGCGGATGTTTGTATGGAGCATCTGGCAACCTTGTTTGAAAGTAGAAGTTATGTTTCAAATTTGCAAAAAAAAAAAAAATTTTTTTTTTGTTCCCCCTTTTTCCGTGTCTTCCTGCAGCTATGATAATGATGATAAAACTTTTTCCTCTAATGAAATCTGTTCATCAAAATCAGATCTCTGAAGAAAGTGTTCACTTTTTTTGAAAATATGGGTAGTTTTTGCTTATCTTTTGTTAAATTAAATGTTTAAAAAAGCAACATTTCAAAAAAAAGTTATGTAAAGTAAAAAAAAAAAGAAAAAGCATAATTTTGCTTATTTGAATATCCTGAGCTTCATTTACTACTATTAGATGATTGTGAATTCGACAATGAGAATTCGACATTGCCCTGAGAATTCCTTTTCATTGTTGAGAAATTATATAGGAGTTGGTTTTTGCATTTAGTGTTCTGTGATTTGTAATGAGTTTAATTTGTTATGACTGAGATGTGTGTATATGTACAGAAATTGTGATATAATAATATTACTTAACCACATTCATTTTATCATCAAATTATATTACATGACCAGAACTTTGTTCACATTGCTTGACATGCAGTAAGAAAATAGATGTCACATTGGTCAGAAATCCCATCTATGTCTTGTTCTGGATTGTCTGTTTTGTTTGTTTTAGTGGTATGTTATAATTTTTTATAAAGCACACTGCAAACTGAATGAACATATGGGAAATACTCCAATAAATCATATTTATGCTGAGAAATAGATTGTTGTATATGTGAAAGCTGGTTCAGTTCTATTTTAAATGTAAGTCTATGTCTTCAGAACATAACGAAGTCAGCTTGTTGATAGTCGCTTTTAAAAGATGTTTTGAAATACAAAATTCCTATGTTTTGCTGTTTAACATGACCTTGCACATATTTTGATAGAAAAAAATGCAGTTTCTCATCCATTTCCCTGTGAACAAGGGGAAGACTTGCAGTGTCTTTTGTGGCATACACAGACTTCAAACTTCCTTGAAAATCTTCAAGTTCCATATGAACATTGTACTCGCTGTTAGGTTGTCTTACCAGTTGTTGCCAGTTCCAGGACGTTAAAATTCTCTTATTATTCTGTTTCATCTCCATCAGTGCATGTACTTTATCAGCCTCCATGCGGATATGACCTTTTAATAGAAACATCTCAGTTACCTTGGTTAATTTGTTGATACCTATGCTGTACCCAGAAAATTGTCAGAAATGAACTATCTGGTTTGGGGTAACTTCATAATTTTGTACCCACAAGAGTGTGGATTCATAATTCTTAATTCCTACCTTACATACATTGTAGATAATCAAATGTAAACTGACTGGACTGTAATTTGGTTCATACAAACCTATTTTCTACCATTTACCATTCTACAATTTACTAGCATTTACCATTATACTGTGCAGCAATATACAACACTACGTCCAGGTGGTGTGGTCAAAGAAAAGTGGGTCTAGTCAGTACAACAGTTAAATATTCAATTGATAGCACCAACTCTGTTGTTATTCTCATCAACTAGTTAACATTGCATGGAAGGCAAACAAGGAACAACGCTACATTTGCATGTTTATGACGTGAGCATAAGCAAGATGGGGCCTGCTCCTCTGCCTAACCTTATGTAAAGTATACAGAGTAGAATGAAAGTAATGTATTTTTAATTTTTACATCAAAACAGAGTACAAAAACATGATAAAAATGGTTGTTTTTAATTATTTTATGTTGGAAATTTGTATTTGGCACCAAAAATAATCCTCAATATTTTTGTTTGGTAAAATGAAAAGATTTTCATCCTGAAAAATTATTTTTCCGTAGAAAAGTGATTAACTTGTTATGAGTTATATGTGTGTAAAAGGGTGGAAAAAAGTTATTATTCTTTTCCAACATGACGTAGCAAAGATCACTTTGAACACACAGAATACCGGTGTGTAAGATATTTTTGAAAAGCTCTCTAAGATATGTATTGGTGTTAGCTACGTCTCATAAATTTTTCAGAATTTTATCTTCGAGTAAAGATATGAAATAAATCAAAAACCGAAAATTTGTATTTTTTCTGTTATCTTACAAAATAATCATGCTTCCATTTTGAAATTTTCGGAAAATGACTTTCAAAATAACACTAACATCTCCTTAGTTTCAAATTGAACTAAGTTTGCAGGCATTTTTACTATCCTTGTGCTGCTATAGCTTTTCCTTATAAGTAGACCATGATAATGTCAATGCTCAGTTGAAGAGTTAAGTTTATCCATGAAAGGGATGTATAAAGCTTAAAGGCAAAGCTTATGAGTCAACATTTGAAACTACAGAGAGTGAGAAATAAAAGTGTCATATCTTCTTACAGTTGCTAACTAATGCTGTTACATATTCATGGGAGCTTCTTGAAAAGTAGATTGCAAAATAAGTCTCCCTAACACACAATCTTTTTTGTACTTAGTTTACATTTGGAGGCCCACGAAATTGTTCCATTGGCAGAGAAAGCTAATTTCTTTATTATTCCAAACTCAACTCTTGTGTTTCAATGCTTATCTATGTGAATCCAATGATATGGAATCATAAATTTCAAATTAACTATCATGGCTCTAATTTCAACAATGTGGTAGTCAAGATTATTTCATATGATGTCTGATTGAACAAAGAGTAAAATTGGATTTAAAGAGAAATTTATTAATGTTAGCTTTCTTGACCGTTACTTGACCTTGATATTTAATAAATGGGAAGTATCTTGGAGTAGGTTTTAAAGAAAACCATTCTTAAAATACCAGAATTTGGCTCTTATTAAGCCTTTTCTCAAGGCTGTGACATGAACAATTTTTTGTTTCTGTATTCTGTATTATATATATAAAATGTACAATATAATATTACATATATCCCCAAGATTGGTGTTTAAAAAGTCTATACAGTATGAAATAAGAAATTTATAACACTTGCAAAACGAATTCTATTTCCAATATTTGAGTCTATCACCTAAAGTCGATCAATGATCATATGATGGGTGCAAGCGTTCACGGGGAAAATGTCAGTTGAAGAAAATGAAGATGAGAGAACTGTTAAACTAGTATTGTATGTGGTTCATAAAATCACTATCATTAACTCATGGTTCCTGAAAATGTAATATACTATTGCAATCCCAAGAGTTAAAAGCATATTAAATGTGGTTACGAATTTTGTGAACTACTGATTTTGTAATTTTACATTTAAAAGTCTTGCTCTACAATGAGTTGAGATGTCATGGACTAGTCCCACACTATATTTCACTATCACAGATGTGTCCTGTCCGTTTTACATTTCAAAATCTAGTGCAAGATTGCTTTCTGAACTCTGAGCGGTCATGAAAAACTACTACTCCTCTTAGGCGTTCAGTGCGTGTTACTCATTCACAACATAACACGAATGAAACATCATTCAAAAACAATCAGTCAAATCCTATAGTAAATTCCAAATACTCTATTTAGTTCACAGTTTCGTTAACTGCAGTTTAAAACTCACTGAATAAGATATCATCTATCATACTCTAATGTGGTCTAAATTCAGCTTCAGTGACAACATTAGATATTTAGTATAAATCAGTAAGTTAAAATATTGCATACTCAGCAGACAGGGAAGTTCACAATCCCCTAAATGGGGGAACATAATGAGTGTTACATTTGGTTACTAGAAAAGTAAACGGGTTGATGATTGCCATCATCCAATTACAATGTTATTCAGTCTGGTCATTTTTACGTTTAAATAAGGTAATACTAAAATGTAAAAGGATGTAATTAAATAAATATAATTAAGTGTAAAATAAAGTATAATACAATATATAATTAAACTTAATAATTACGTAATATAAGAGATTGAGATGTTTGCCTTATTATTGGGTGGGAACGAAAGTTCATATGGGTTCAAAATACAGCCCAACATTCGGTTTGATTGTTACAGCAATCAGGTTAAACCTTGCTCGAATAAAAATTTAAAATCCAGTTTGAAGGAATTGCAATTTTGTAACACGTATTTGACAGTGCTGAACTGCGGTTATCGTAGGTACCAGACGTTCTCTGCTAAGAATCTTGAATGAAATCCGACCAACTTTCGTCCTTACCCGACTATTTAAAACAAAAATCCGCTATTTACATTGTTTCGTGGACAAGTGAAGTGAAACTTTTTTCAATCCTATATTTCCTGAGTGAATTTCCGTGCACCAAAATTATAGTTTATAATACGGTGTGTAATGAGTATAAAGGTATTAGCATTGAATAAAGAATTTGTTGTAAAGATTGTATTTTACAATAATTATTGCTCCTACATTTATAAAAAAAAACGATGTAACAAAAATTCATTTCGTTTGCTTAAGTTATAGATGTTTAAAGTGTATAAATGTCTTCTTACTATTGTAAACATTTGTAAATTGTTTCGGATTTTAAGCGTATTTTTTTCTCACTTTTTGATATTCACGAGAGTAATTTTTTCGGTTGAATTTTAGCACTAATTTTATATCGATCTCGTCGTTACGAATAATTAAGCGTTGGTAATGTCAGGAGAAACTATAACTGAACGGCCCAAATCTTGGTTTCATCTTCGCCTCATCGTGGTGCGTTTTCGCGAGGCATCGCATTTCCCGTTGTCCGTTACCACGAAGGAGTTTTCTCTTGAGCGAGGTGTTGCGTTGCCCGCAGCAGCCGGGAGGTGTCCGCCAGCCGCTTTGACACCACCACCGTGGTGCCCGGCTCCCGCTTCTCCTCCCGCTACGAGACGCCGTCCCGCGCCCGCAACTCGTATGGCGGCGGGGGCGGCAGCAGCGGCCGCAGTGGGAGCGGCTCCTCGGAGCCCCGGACGCCCACCGGCTGCTCGACGCCCGGCGGCGCGGGGGCGCACAGCCCAGCCGCGAGCGCGGGCGCTGGCGCGACGGCGGCAGGGAGCGCGGCGGCGGCGAGCGCGGTGGCGGGGGGCGTCGGCCCCGGCGGCACCGGGACGGTCGCCCGCGGCGGGGGCGGGGGCGGGCTCAACACGCAGCCGCGCCATCCGCTCCGCGCGCTGCCGGCCGCCCGCGCTGCCGCAGCGCCGCCCCCGGGCAGCGCTACGACTACTACGACTCAGAAGTACCCCGGCGCAGATAACAGGTGAGTGTTCTCCTCAGATTCTATCTCTGTTTCGACGACACGCCTGCGTAAGCAATTTGTAAGACAAAATAAAAACGAAATCGGGTGATTAAGCCTATAGAAGTTTTTGCACGGATTAGTATACGTAAATTTTCTTCTTTTTGTTCGCTGTCACATTTTTGGGTGGAGTGCCGCTTTAAAACTATTGCGCAAGATAGCATAAAAGACGTTCGTTATAGCTGCAGGCAATATGATAGTATTTAATGAAACATCTTTTTGTTCCGCAAGAGCAAGTGGTTATATACATGTGTGGTGTGGTGCGGTGTGCATGGACTATGATGAGTACAGCCAGGGCAAGCGGCGCCAGCCACGACGACCTTATGACGCTGACCAGTTTGGCGCTGCGCGAGCTACGCGGCGTCGAGGAGGGGGCGTACTGCCGCGGACTCGGCGGCCGCTCACGCGAGCACAGCCCGCGCGCGCGCGCCCCCCAAGGCGGACCGGCCAACGACGAGGAGGCCGGAGACGTCGTCGGCGGCCGCCGCTCGCCGGCCCGCTGCCTCGTCCGGGCCGCGGTCCCCGCGCCCCGCGCCCCGCGTCCGCGCCCCGCGCCCGCGCCCGGCGCCTCGCGCCTGCGCTGCGCTGCGCCTGCGCCCATATCCCGCGCCTGCGCCCGCACCCGCGCCCGCGCCCGCCTCCACACAGGCCGCCTTCAAGCGGCACGCGCTGCAGAGCGGTTGTTGGTGAGCGGTGACGCTCGTCCGCGTCGTCGTCGACGACAGGCGGCGGCGGCGGCGGCGGCGGTGGTGACCGCGCCCACGTCGGCCGGCCCGGCCCCCGGCCGCGCGGCCGCCCACCGCCGCTGCCGCCGCCGTGACCTGCGACACCTGGCCAGAAGGTAGGCGCGTGCCTATTCAGCACCTTCTCGAACAGCTGGACAAGCAAGCGTCGTCGGGGGATGGAGGACGGCGTCCGCCTCCGTCCCCGCCGACCGCCCCCGCCTCCGCCCCCGCGCTGGGCCTCGCGCCCAAGAAGCGCCTCAAGCTCGACAACTACGTGGGAGCGGACGCCGCACCCGTTGCCGCAACCGCCTCCGCGCCAGAGGTGAGTGCATTCCTCCTCTTCCTCATAGTTCTTCTCTCGTTCCTCACACTCCTCCTCACCGGCTTAGATGGCTCAGGGCATCGGTTAATGTCACTGCAGTACCTCTAACCGGGATGTTCCAGTTCCGACGGTGCCAGGTTTTTCGACATTAGATACCTTCGCCGAGTTCAGTGACTGCTTGGAGAAGAATTCTACCGGCCGGCTGCTCTGATCGGTTATTTTTTTCCGTGGTTACTCTGATCAGCTCCAAGCGGATGCTGGAACAGTACTCTTGACAGACGGGTGACAGCTTGCTTGAGATCATTCCTTCCTCTTTCTTGACCTATTCTTCATACTTCCACATACATTGTACACATACAATGTACTGTACTTCCGCACATGCCGGGATATCGGTTGGGAGCTTATAGCTTGTCCCGGCTGGGCGGTGCCGAGCTGAAAGAAGATGCCCTGTTGGAAATATCAACGTGTATGTCAACGTGACGGTCTTCGACAGGTTTCGCCATTCAATAGGGAAAAACATCGCCACCTTCTGTGATACAAGCATGCTCTACACTGGTGTGATCTTAGTAATTGACGCTTCAGATTCACTAATCAATAAAGCAATTATCCCTCTCTCCCTCTCCTTTCTTTCATCTCCTTTTTCTCCCGCATCCCTTTTTCTTTTTTCTTCTAATTTTGCTCCTCTTCTTTTTCCATGCTTTTCCTCGTCTGTCTTCCTGTATTTGTTCTGCTTGTCTTCCTTCTCTTTGCTTCTGCTCTACTCCGCCATTTGAATCGGTTCGTTGCTGCGCGCGCGTGTGTGTGAGCGGGGGCGTGTCTGTGGCAGGTTTTGTTTGTGGACGGGCTGGGTCACGCGGACACCGGGCTGGCCGCGCCGTCGCCCTCGCTTCTGGTGCACAACCATCGCAAGAGCAGTGCCGGCAGCGGCTCGAGCGGCGGCGGCGGCGGCGGCGGCGGTGGCAGCAGCAAACACTGCAGCCGGCGGCTGAGCGGGGAGGGGCTGTCGAAGCACGAGCGGCGGGGCGGAGGTGGGGCGGGGGCGGAGGAGCGTGGGCGCGACGCGTCCGCCGACCGCCTGGCGCTGCCGCTCTACTCCCCGCACCCGGTCTGCAAGCGCCGCAAGACCGGCAGCAGCGCCTCGGAGAGCGAGGAGCGCGACCGGGACCGCGACCGGGAGCGCGACCGGGACCGGGATCGGGAGCGAGAACGCGACCGCGAGCGCGACCGGGAACGCTGCCGCGGCGGGAAGCACTCGCACCACCACTCGCACCACCACGGGAGTAGCGGCGACGGGGCGGGGGCGGGGGCCGCGGACGGCGCCGTGGACGGCAGCCGCCCCGGCACGCCCCTCTGCGACGAGCGGCCCGAGAACCTGTTGCCGCCCTCCGAACCCCGCCGCCTGCCCCGCGAGCGTAGCGCCGCAGACGGGCCGCTGTCGCTGCCGCTGCCCAGGTTCGCCGCGCAGGTGAGTTCGCATTAGTATGCATCAGTATAGTTACTGGCTCTGGATTCTAATGGGTTGCGACTGCTTTATAAATGTTTTCGTCGGATACTGGTTACTACTAATCCAAAAGTGAGGAAGTTGATGTGTTTGAAATGGCATTCATCGTATCCGTGGCCCTCCGCTGTGGCGTGAGAGAATGCATAGATTCCATGGGCTACCTCTACACCCCATGGCAACTAGACTGCTCTCTTTACTCTCCCGTTTAAGTATGTCACCTGTAATGTATTGCAGTTTCTCTTAAGATAAATCTGTTTGATGTTTTCCTAGCTAAATCGTGTTTTTCAAAATTAGTTTTGGGTGTGTTGTCCCTAATTGCCTTCAAATATGACATTTCTTTTTGCGATGTATTTATTTCTTTTATATATAACCGTCACCCTCATAGTACAATTTGATAATAAAGTAGCAACCCCTTTCTCACAATAGCGTGTACGTATTTCATTAATGACCCCTACATGCGTTTGTCTATGCAAAAATGTTTGGTACAAAGAATTGTAAAATTTAGAGCATTCTCAATAGGAAATTTTGGACCGAAAAATCTTTCATGGGATTTTGCAAAATAATTTTCATGTAAGAACTGGGACTTGTAGCGATCCTTCCTACATTACTGTGGACAATTTCCAAAAATAAAATAAAAATGTGAGAGGAAAGCGTGAGAAAAAAAATGAAAAAAAAACAGGAAAATTAAAGCGCAGAAAATTTACAGGTATGTCTGCAATTCGCGTCGTTTGGTCATATATAAAACAATTATTTTACGTTCATTAATTTGAAACCAGTTTAATATTTAGTGCTGCCAGTCATACGCGCGTAGCAGAGACAGATTGGGTGAAGCTTGTAAGCGGTCACCGAGGGCCCGAAGAGAAATGGCTCTTAGTGCGGCCGCTTAATGGAGGGTGTGAGAACGTTGGGAGCATTCATTCGGCTCAATTTTGCAATTTTCAATGGAAGTTAGTATCCGTTGCTTGTTAACACGATTGGTCCTTTCAACTTCATTACACTTACAATCTTCAAAGTACAGTAAGTTTGTGAACGTTTGAGTTTACCCGTTATTGACGAACACAAAATTTAGTTTTATCATTGTTTTCATTCTTTTGTTACGTGGACTTGATTTCCAATCAGACCATTTCACACTCTGAAAGTAACAAAACCTGCATGAAAATTTTTTCTGAAACAAATTTATCACTGCATGAAATATACAACCCTACCCAATTGTACTTAATCTTGCATTGGAACCTTACTCAGGAAGTTACTGAACTAACTGTAACATTCGTCGATCTTCAGCTTCCTATAGCAATACGGCTCGAAATGGCAAATTGGCCAGGAAGTTGAGGGCGTCTAATGGAAAGTTAAATTCTGAAATGAGACTGGATGCGAACTGTTAATATAACGAAACATTATGAATTATTTCATGTCAAAATCAATCAGTTGAACGAAAAATGTCCGTGAACGGAGGTAACTGTTCGAGTGGGATTCATTGTCACTTGATGGTCCCGAGACTTATGAAGCCCAACGTCTCTCGTAATTTTTATTATAATTTTAACATTTATTTAACTTTTACAGTACCTTTTCAATGTTTAAAGTTAATATATTTTCAGAATGAAAAGTAAAGCGAATGTTCAGTATGGGTATAATGTCGGCTACTGAAATATCGCGGATTCGGGAAATCGGCTTCAGCCATTGTGAGCAGTGCAGAACTATAGAATATAAATTTTATCTACATTAATACAATCGCTTAAGATACAATAATCCAGAAGTATACGTGTCTAGACTTATTTGTGTCAAGGGGTGATGACAAGCAGCACGCTGCCTGCCTGCCTGCAGGTGCTGTCGTCGGCCGGACCGCGCCTGACCATCTCCACCAAGTCGACAGCGGCGGCCGGGACGCTGGCGTCGCCCCCGCCTGCTGTCACCTCTCCGCGCTCCGCTCAGCCGCCCTCAGCGCACCACCACCACCATCACCACCATCACCATCATCACCACGCAGCAACAGCGGGCGCGCCCTCAGCCGCGCCGGCGCCCGCCCCAGCGCCCACGCCTCCGCCTCACCCGGCGCAGCCGCCCCCCGCGTCGCCGCCACCGAGGCCGCCCTCGATGTCGCCGTCGTCGTCCGACTCTGAGCTCGCGCCGCAGTCGCCGTCGCTCGAGGAGCGCATCCGGTCGCTCGACGAGAAGTACGAGAAGTGGAGCGGGTCGCGCGCGCTCAGCGCCTCTGGCGGCGACACGCTCGCCAAGCTGGACGCCGGTGCGTCGGCCTTTCGCTTCCGCCACCGCCTACTCGACTCCAACTACCACGACATCCAGCCGTCGGACATCATGAAGAAGGTGATGGGCAAGCGATCTGTCTTCGACGAGGATTCAAACCGCCTGGAGAACGTCAACGACAAGTACGAGCCGCGGGAGTTTGTGCCGTCGCGCGCCGCCAGCTGCTTCCAGACGCTGCGCCTCAAGACGGACGCGGGGCCGGGGGCGGGGCCGCTGGCCGGCGCCGCGTCACCCAACCCCGCCAAGCCCTTGTTCGCCAGTGCCGTCACGCCCACGGCCGCGGCGGCGCCCGCGCCCGTGCCCTCGCCCTTGCCCACTGCGACCCGGGGCCTCCTCGGCTCGCCCCTGCACTCGCCGTCGGCACTACCAAAGTCGCCCTACTCCACGGGCTGTCCCGGCCCCGGCCCTGGCCCTGGCCCCGGCCCTGGCCCCGGCCCTGGCCCCGGCCCTGGCCCCGGCCCGGTGTCCGCTCCACGCCCGCCCCGCACCGAAAGGCGGTCGGCGGCCGCTCCACCACTGCCAGCTTCGCCTGCAGTGCACGCCGCCCGCCGCCCGCCGGCCCCGCGGCACAAGTGGTGGGCAGCCATCAAAGGGTTTTGCAAGATTTATTCCGTTCCCCGCCACCCGCCCGTGCTTTGCCCACCACCACCGTCGCCACCACCAGCGCGTCAACGGCGGTTCCTTGTTTTGGTTGTGTCTCGGTGGTCGGTTGTTTGGCTTTGCTAAATGGAGTCAGAATGAGTCGGCTGCGCTTAATCCTCGGCCCCCTGCCCATCCACCGCCACCCGGAAACTTATTGATGTATGTGTCGCTGTTCGGCTGCGACAAAGCGGCTTCTCTGCCGCCGCCGTTCCTGTTTTGTAAAGTACCCACCTTCCCCCGCCCCGGCTAGCAAGGCTGGCTCCGCCAATCTCGGTAGGGGGGCTGTTCTTTTCTAGGTTCCACTGCTGCGCCGTCGGCGGGGCGGCACGACACGTGTGCCCATCTGCCCGGCGCACGTCGTGGATTCATCGACTGCCCCCGCGCAGACTCGCACATAAATGTCTCCTCGCATGACCGCCTCACAAAGCCTCTGGCAGGGCGCCGCGAGGCCGCGGTCCCGGCCGGGGGTTGGCATGGGGTGCGGCGCCCTTCCGGGCCGGCGATCCCCTGACGCACGCACGGCAAGTGCCGCCAAGCGCGGGCGCACCGCCGCCGCCACCCGCCGCCGCAGCAGCCAGGGCTATCAAGACCTACACCGGGGGCACACGCAGCCTTCCGCTGCCGCCGCCCCGGCGCCGCTTGCAGCAGGCAGCCACCACCGCCCCGCCGCCGCCCCGCAGCAGAACGTCGGGATCTACCGGGTACTCGGTCTCCGTCCACTTTCGTCGACGCCGTGCAACGACCGCCCCAAGGGCCCGGCCGGCCTCCTCGGCCTCGTCAAACATTCCTCGCGACGCTCAAGTCGCCACCCGCCGCCGCGGCGGCGCCGGCGCCGGCACCGCCTTCCGTGCCTTTCACCCGGCGGCATGCGCCGGCGGTCACCACGGTCGGTCCGGCAAGGCACCCCCGGCACACGCCCGTGCTGACGGGTCACCGTGGGCGGTCTGCCGCGCCCACGACCTTGACGTCGGCGGGCCACGGGCGGGAAGCCGCTTCGGTGACGAGTGCCGCCGCCGCAACGCCGGCGGACCTCCCAGGCACGCGCTCCAAGTCAAGAGTTAAACGCGATCGTGTTTCCTCGTCTTCGTCTGCGTGAATAAAAAAGACCCTTCCACATAAAGGAAAACAGTGGCGACGAAGTCATCGTCCTCTTTGGCCAGAGGAGGAACTCGGTTGTGGGGTCGCCCTGTGAAAAAGGATCGGCGGTCGAGCCACAAAGTCCAAGTCGAGTGGCGGAAGTGCTTTTGTGTTCGCGGCGCGAGGAGGCACGATGCGCGCGAACACGAAACGCCACGGGACGAGCTGCGCCCGGCGCGACAGCAAGGATAAGGACGAGGAGCCGCTGGGAGCAAGGACGGCGGCAGGACGACGCGCCCCAGACGGCAGCAAGGCAGCGGAGGACGGGCGGCGGCGGGGGCTCTAGCGCGGGCGGCAGGCGCAAGGACAACGCGAAGAGGAGCGCGCGGGGGGGCGGCGGCACGCCAGCGGGCGTCGGCTGCAGAAGCGGCGATGAGCTCCCAGGACTCCGCCGACAGCGACGCCCGACGCGGACGCACAAGCGGGTCTCTAATTGGGTCTATTCGCCAATGGCCTCGCCGACCAAACCCACCCCGAACGCCCGGACTCCAAGGACAGCTGCCGCAGGCTTCCTCCAGCAGCAACGCTCGTCTTCCCATGTCCTTCGCATCACGGACAAGCCGTCCTCCAAACAGCGCCGCCGCCGCCTTTCCCAAGGGGGTGACAAGGCCAGGACCACAAGAGAGTGGCGGGGCCAAAGGGGACGAAACGGAAGCGTAGCGCGACAAAGGACGCCGCAAGGCGCAGGACGGTTTTCGGCAAGCACCGCAAAGACAAAGAGAAAAAGAGAAAAAGGTGGGACCGCGGAAAGCCCGAAGACCCAAAGGCGTACGTGAAGCTGTTCTTCGTCGAAGGGAGAAATGCCCACGACAAGGACTTCTCGCGCAGAGCGCTCGAAGAAAAAGGAGGACATGCGAGCCCGAGGAGCGGCGAGGAAGAAGGCACCGGCACATGAAGAAGGATCGCAAAAAAAAGCAAGGACGACACGCGGCTCGGGTAGTGTGCAGCCGAGAGCCTGTCGCACCAGCGAGAGGACACTAAGAGCAAAGACCTCGAAAAGGACAAGGAGAAACGTTGGCCCTCGGCACAGCCAGGCACACGATCGCCGGAAAACAGCGTGGACTGCACGACGAGCGCAATAGGACAGCAAGGAGGAGAAGTGACGCGTCCCGCGAACCAGCGCCCGACTTCCTATCCCTCGCCCAGACCTGCCACCACCGCGTCAGTGCCAGCCCCGCCACCCCGTCCGTGCCCGCGGCCCGCCACCCACGCCCGCGGTCCACACCCGCACACGCGGCACCTCGCGCCCCGCCGCGACCCGCCGGCCGTGGGCCTGGCCAACCTGAGGCCTGCCACCTGACGCCTGCGCCTCCACGACCGCCCCCCGCCCTCCTTCGTCCGGACCGGCGCCCGCCTCCAAGGCCAAAAAGCGGGACGACGCACCGCCACGTAGCCACTCGGACAGCGACAGCGAGGACGGCAGCTGCGACGGCCCCAAGAAGCACTCCATCTTTGACATCATTGACGATGGCCCGGCCTATATCTCAATGTACGACAAGGTGAAGGCGCGCTCTACGAAAAACATGCAGAAGCAGGAGGAGGAAAAGCGGCAGGAGAAGATGCGCGAGAAGTTCAACCTGCTGAAGCAGTCGCGCGCCAAGCGCGAGGAGAAGAAGCGCTCGACTTCGTGGGACGAGGACTCGGATTCTGACGGCGGCGGCGGTGGCGGCGGGGCGGTTTGTGCCGCCGCCAGCGCCGCCGCCGGTGCCGCCAAGGCCAACAAGCGCCTCGCCAAGCTCATGATCAGCAGCTCGTCTGAGGACGACGCCAGCCGCGCCGCCGGCGGTCGCCCGCACTACGATCTGGACGAGGCCAAGGCGGCGGGCAAGGGCAGGCCGCTCGTTCGCGTCAAGAAGGAGGAGCCGTGCGCCGACTCCGACTCGGATGTGCAGCTACGGCACCCGCGCGCGCTCACGCTCTCCAAGGAGCACGCGCACGGCCTGGCCAAGCAGCGGCTGGACAGCGAGGACGACACGGCCTCGCCCGCCACCGGCAAGCACGCCTCGGCGCCCGCGCTCGCCCGCAAGGGCAGCCGCCCCAAGCTCGTCTCCGACACCTCCGAGGACGAGGGCGGCTCGCGCTTCAAGCACAACGTCGTCAAGACCGAGGTGTTCTCTGCCGACAGCGACCTCGACATGGAGTACCCGGACTCCGACGACAAGCACGCGGCGCTCAAGAAGCTGGCGCAGGGCGCTTCTGCCAAAAACAAGACCAAGCACACCCTCCTGGACGATGAGCGAAAGGTGCTGGCGGACGGCCCCAAGCTGGGTGTGGAGAAGGCGGCCGTCTTCAAGAAGATATCCGGCGCCAAGAAGATCGTGGAGTCGTCCGACGACGAGGTGGCAAAAAAGCTGCCTTGCGACCCGATCAAGACCGAGTTCGCCGACGACAAGCAGGCCATCTTTCGCAAGTCCATCGCCAAGAACAAGATTGCCAAGTTACCCTTGGAATCGTCGGACGATGAAACGAACCGGAAATTGCTGGTGGAGGCGAAGCCCTTCGACGAAAAGGCTCCGAACTTCAGGCGCTTCAATAGGATGAAGGCGAAACAGCCCTTGGACTCTTCGGACGACGAGGCAGTGCGCAAAATCATGACGGACTCCATCAAGAACGAGATGTACGAGCTGGAACCCAGCTTTAAGAAGAACTTCGGCAGGAACCGGGCGGGCAAGATGTTCGATGGCGCGAACGAAGACCCCGTAGTGAAGCATTTTTCCATTCACACTGACAAGGACGACATGTTCAGCGACGACAAGGCTGTGCTGCTCAAGGGCGGCGGCGACTCCGCGGGGGAGAATGCATCGGACGGAGAGGTAGCCGCGACGACGCCACCGCAGCTGGAGAAGGCACTCTACTACAACTCTGTGGGCAAGATCGCTGGCGACGCGGCGCGCCGCAAGTCGCACAAAAAGAAGCAGAAGCGACAGAAGCAGCAGAGCCTGGCAACGGCGGCGGGCAGCGACGACGGCCCGGCCAAGGGTGGGGTCGAGACCGAGCCCTACTGCAAGCTGTCTCCCAACAGCTCGGCGACGGACGCGGCCGACGACAAGCTGAAGGCAGCGGTGGACGCGGCGGAGCGCAAGCGACACAAGCGCGAGCGCCGCAAATCCACGCATAAGTCCGACGCTGAGGGCAAGCCAGCCAAGGCGCGGCGGAAGCGCTCCGCCAAGCCGGAGCTGAGCGTCCTCAAGGCCGAGAACAGCGCCTGCCTCAAGCGCGACGACAAAATGGAGGACATCTTCGGTCCGCTCTCGGACGACTCTGAGCCCGGGCTAGTAAAGGAGGCGTCTCCTGGTGCGGCCCCACCCTCGCCCTCGTCGGCGCCCTTCGCCCGCCTCCGCCCAGTACACTCGCCCGCCCGCGCGCTCGCTTCGCCCGCGCGCTTCGCCCCGGCCCACCGGTGCCGCCCGCCCACCGTGCACCGTCCGGCACTCGCTCGCCCGCCCCGCGCCCTTCGAAAAAGGATGAGTGCCGGTGACAAGGCGGTCTCCTCAACAAGTGGGCGGCGGCCTGGTGGAGAGGCGACCGCCGTCAGCCTCACCCCCGGCTCCGCGCCGCCCAATCGCCCGCACTGCCCTAGCCGACGCGCGGGCGGTGGCGAGGCATGCGGAGAAGGAAACGCAAGCGCAGAGAAAACGGCGCAAGAGCCGGAAGGCCCGTGAGGAGGAGAACCCCTCGGCCGTGGAACTGCGGAGGGCGGGACGCGCCCCCTGGAAGCCAAGCTCGCTGACCGAGGACTACCCATAAGCGGTCCCGGCCCCTGGCTCGCCGCCTCGCGCGCCCGCCCTCACGCC